TTGAATACTAGGATTCGAGAAAGAGAGGCTTCGTATTTTGCTTTTCTAGAAATACTAGAAATGAGGCAAACGGAGCTACATTTCAGTAAAAAGATAATGGCAGAGTCAAGATCTTCTAACCTAACTCTCAGAGACCCTTAAATATTCCCACTGTAGAAAGCAAACTGACAGGTTTTTGGGGAGGGGTTAGAAATCAGAGGCTGGCCTGTCAACTGGCAGCCCCAGGTTTCAGGTCGTTTGCCGGGGGACTACTCAGTGTGGGGCTTGGTGCACTGCGCATCAGACAGGCTGAGGGAGGAGCTGCTCTGAGGAGCCATCCAGAGGCTCCGACAGGGCCAGGGCTGGCGGCAGTGGCACCTGTGTGGCCCTGGCTATTTCTAAGCCTGCCCCAGCATGGCGGCTGTGACTTCCAGACTACGCTGACGTGGCAGAGGAGAACATCTGGCCAGCATTCTCTTCAGGAATGAACTCTCTCTCTTATCTAGCCAAATATAAACTGAAAAAAATTTAAAAGACAGAGATAGAGACAGAGAGAAGAAGATGAAAAGAGAAAAAACAATGGATGAATACTCAAAAATCAAAGGGGCTGAACAGGCAGAGTGCTGCAGAGCGTGAAGCTATTTTGCATGATACTATAATGGTAGATATATGTCGCTATACATGTATCAAAACCCACACAATTAAAACACCGAGAGTAAACTGTAACGTGAAAAGTATGGACTGTGGGTGATAATGATGCGCCAGTGGAATCATGGATTATAACGATGCCCCACTGTGGCCTGCGAAGCTTACAGTGGGGAAGGCTGGAGGGGCGTGCGGGTGAGGAGTATAACTCTGCACTTCCCATTCAGTTCTGCTCTGAACCTAAAACTATTCTGAAAAATAGTTTATTGAAAAAAATTCAAAGTAAACTTAACTGAGTGTGAGTGTGTGTGAGTGTGTAAGTGTGTATGTGAGAGCATGTGTGTGAGTGTGTGAGAGTGTGTGTTCATGTGCACATCTGGGGAGGAGGAAGGGCAGTATGGGAGAGGATGCAGAATAAGTTTTGAGAAACGTAATAAAGACATGCTATCAGTTTTCCCAATATGTTTTTGCCATTCCCTAAAGTGTCTCTTCAGATACAAATGAACATCCTAAACTTTGCGGCACTTCTCAAGCACAAACACTAGAGGAAATATTGCCCTATGCTTAAAAAAACAAAAACAAAAACAAAAACATAAAAACCTTATAAAGGGAACACTGCAGATTACACAGACTGCATGAAAATAAGCCGCACAGCATTAACTCGTTAAGCAGCTCAGATGAAACAACGCTGACGACGATCCGCACCAGCGGTCACAGGCCCGGCCTCCACTTCCTGGACAGACGCTAAATTAGAACTTGCCTTCAAATTCTCTAGATTAAAACACAGTCCGGGTCCCAAAGCAGCCGCGTGGCGCTGTGCTCACACGCTCCTCGCACCCGCGCGCACCGGCGCTGCGGCCCAGGCCGGCAGCCCTCCGCCCTAGGGAGGCGGGCGAGTTACCTGGTAACGCGGTGATGAAGTCCCGCTGCAACATGGGCTTCAGGTACGAGTTGATATGTCCATGCTGGTAATGACACATTCGGGAAATAAGGTGCTCCACGAACTCCACCTGATCTGATTCAGACCACTGGTCAAAATATTTAATACACAAGTCTTTTTCTTTTTGATAGTTTCCTTCTGACGGCCTCTTTCTGGAGACGATCACGGATGACGTTCCATTACTTATCTATTTTAGAAAAACAGCAACACAAATAATTAGTTTGACAAGGAAAAGAAATTTCATGAGTATTTCATTAGAAACATTTTTGCACTCGGTGAATTTAATCTTAAAGTGCCAGTTTTACCCTAAAGCCTTTACCACCGCTCATTCTGTTATTAATTCTTTCAGGAAGTAATTAAAAATGTATTCAGGGCCTGTGTCTGCGAATTCGTCTCTGAAGTAAATGGCGAAGTTACAGCTATTTCTAAAAGTAACTGATGTCTTAATCATTGTTCTCCAAAGCTTATTCCCAAACCACGCTGTTATCAGATAACGAACGTTGAAGACGACCAGCTTAGAAAAACCGCCCAGCCTGGCCAAGCGGACCTAATTTAATAATTCGTTTTACTTCCTCGAAGCTGAAAGGTAACGCGATATTCGGGAATGGCAATGGCTTCTGCACCTGTGTGTGCATGAGATAACGAGAGAGCATCCTAAAAGAGAGCGCCAGGCCCGCCCCAGGCCTCTTCATTCCGTCGGTCTGGAGTAGGGCCCAAGATCGTGCGTTTCTAACAAGTCCCCCGTGACGCTGCTGGTCCGGGGCGCAAATCAGGGACCACACTTTGAAAACCACCTGCCCGTCTATCAAATGGAGAAGCGTGAAGGCAACTGGATCTAAAAAGCTTCATTTGACCGAACAGTTTTGATTTCCGTATTGTTTCTGGGCTTATGCTAAACAGCTGCCTTTCACTCCCTTCTCCCAACCAGAAACCGCGTGTGCCTGCAAAGGGCTTCGTGTTCCATAGCTGGCTTACGGGTATCCCACCGACTTCCACATTAACTGTGCATTTCTCATGAAATCAACATGGTCCTTGTACAACATCTTGTCTGTTTTTTAGAAATTGAAACTATATACATTGCATTTGGACAATAGTATCAAAAAAAAAAAAAATCTGAATCCCTAAACTGAAGCCACAACTGCTACTGATCCCATGAAGCTCAGTAACTTAACTGTTTAAAAACAAAACCACCTTGATGTTTCTGTCAAACACTGGCCAAGCTATCTGCCCATCAGTCCTCTGGCAGCCCCTCCATGTGTAACACCAGAAGGAATAACTTGTAAGAGTTTGGAAAACTGATGAGTTGCATCACAAACATTTATAATTCTGTTAGGAGCTTCTCTCAGAAGTCCTACACAGAAAGGACCAAGAGCTTTAGTTATCAGCAGGCTCCCTAACTGTAAGTGGACTGAACCCACCCCAGAAAGAAGGCTGCCTCTGAAAACACCCAAAAAGAGTCTTTGGCTTTCCTGATGAAATCTTATAAACCTTTCCTGTCTGAAGAATGTTCTGTCTGAAGTCGGAAGGCATTTATTTACCTCCCTCCCCATTTATCTTAACTATTCCCTTGTCTAGGAATGTTTTCCCCTTGTAATTTGTGAGGCAGAGCTCGCTCACAGCACGTAACACCAGAGGGCAGCACTGAACAGAAATTTTAGATGTTGCTTTTATTAAGACGTTCAGACTCGAAAATCAACACTCAAAAACAGATGAAGTGAAAATTCTGTGGTGAATATCGACTGGTATATGGAACATCTTTGTTGCTTTTAATCATAAGGATGTTCACCATAATGTTGATAATAGAGACAAATTAGAAATAACAGTCCAATGAGAGGCAACTGGTTAAAGCAAATTATAATACATCTACACAAAGTACTATATAATGTAGCCATTAAAATTAGGTTTATAAAGTAAGATTTTTTAATAACAAGAGAACACTTTTGTGAAAAATATTAAGAAATAAAAGGCAAGATGCAGAATTTTACATAGCATAACCACAATAATTTGTGTAAAAGGAAAGACACCAGGACAGAGTAAAGAATACATATGAAAATGTTAAAAGCGCCTAATCGAGACAGAAAGCTGTATATGTTTTCTCCCCCCCTTTCTACTGTATTTTTTTTGTAATATCTTGTAAAAATAATTCCTTTCACAAAAGTTTAAATATAATGATGGTTAACAACTTGCATTTATGTACTGCTTTCTAATCTACAAAATACATTCAAACCCATTATCTCATCTGATAAGCAAAAGGGTTATTATTTCATTTACAGAAAGGTTCCTAACCATCTACCCTCCCTAGAGCATTGATCTACCATTAACGAGTTGACCGAAAAGAAAGATGAAAGAAAACCTGAGCGTGAACTGAAAAATCACTAGAGAATCCCACTGCAGAAGACGGAACAGGAAGGAGGAGCAGGAGTCAGTCTGAGCGCAGGTCCCAAAACCCAGGGCCAAGCGCACGATTCCACGGCGCATCCCCATTTCCGCTTCCAACCACCTGCCTGGCCCAGAACGATCTTCCTGGCGTTGTCGGCTGTTTCACTTCGTCTCCAATCTGTTGGAGACGCTTCGTTCTTGCTAACTAACCTACCCTTTCACTCCATATCAAATGAACCTAGAGAGTATTTTTTATAACATTATTCTCTTCAGATTTAGATTCGTTCTGCCTTTGTTTCTTCAAGAAAGGAAAAATAATTTGATGAAATCACACGGTTGATGAAAACGCCAAATCATGAACTTCACATACTTCTCTGCATCCCACTCCAAAAAAAGTGGGGGATTGGGAGGAAAACTGGCAAACTAATAGAGCCAGAAGAAAAGGAAGCTAAGCTTAAAAGGAAAGGGAGAACCAACAGGAAATGAGGAAGAAGGGTGGGAACAGAATCAGTCACCAATGCGTATAGTGGTGTGTGACAAGGTGCCATTCTGGTGACAAGGGACGCCACCACTGTCCATCTATGGATTAGACAGTGACCAGACAGAACATTTTAGGCTACAGTCACCTCAGAATCTTTGTGAAAACTCTAAAATCTTTTACTATTCATAAGACACTTCCCTAAGGAACGGGAGATAAATTAGGGTGAATTCTGAAACTAGCAAAACTGCACACACAAAAAACAAAACTGCTTGGCTCTTGTTTCCACTGAGGTCATGAGCTGAGGGAGCATCTCATCTACGGTCAGCTGACGGCTATCTTATCTGTGCGCGTTCATTCCTACCTGCCAAAGAGTATTTTTCTTTGGGGACTCATCTTCATTTTGATCCTCCATAACTGAAGTGTTCTAAGGGGGGAAAAACAGGTTATTTGAATTATGCTGAGTTTTGCAAATCCTAAATAACTACACCAAAATATAATTTTGAAAACCCGAACTGGAGTGTACCAACACAAACCCAAGAGCTAGCTGGCTTGTGGCTAACAGGTGCCATTATGAGTTAAGGGTCTGTGCTCAGCGCTCATAAATCGATGCACTTCCAGTGGCCGGCCAAAAGCAAGCAGGAAGTCTTACTTATGTGAAGGCGGGGCAGACTCAGAAAACAGGCAAACGGCAGGAGCGGGGCTGAAGCTGCCGTCGCTGTTATCCTTACTTGTGGCAAGAAGCCCCGGAGACCCGCTGAGTTCCCGACTGCACGAAACATTTACGAGAATGCCTGCTGCTCAGCAATGCACCCCAACCGTCGGCAAAGAGAACCGACAGAGCCTCGGCAGCGCCCCCCCACCCACCGGCCTTCCTCTCTCCTCCTCCCTTGATGGCCTTGTTCTCCTGCAATGGCTGTGCGGCCTCCCCGAGCAAGCATGGTGGGTGCCCCAACCTTTTCCCTGAAGAGGAGGATGCTGTCAGCCAGCAACAATCTGGCTGGCTTAGGAATGCATTAGCTTTTGGTTTTGTGTTTGCTGCACAAAGAGGCACTGTGCGATTATTCTTTCTGGTGACCTCGTCGCTCAGTAGACACCCATTAGCTGGAGATTAGACAGGACTGGATTTTCCCTTTGGAAGCTCCTACCTAAAAGCTAAATGGAAGGGGAAGTGGGGGAGCTGCGCTCAGGAAGGAAAACACCCCACTTAGGGACGGCGGCCCCTCGAAGATTCCTCCCCGAACCTAAAATGTGAAGACTGGAGTACGAAATTGCAACCACAGCACTGGTCCCAGAATGTTACTCAAAGGGACCCTACGGATCTGCTTACAGTATTTACACGGCCCTGTTGCCACTGCCTGTAGATGACGAGCCCATCGCTCGGACTGTCCCCATTTTTCCTTTACGTTCTTCAAGCCGTGAAGTGTTTGCACCCACTCAGTATGTCCCAACTGTCCCTAATGGCAGAATCAGCGCCCAGGTCACAGAGCTGCCTCTGATCAGGAACGGGATGCGTGTCACGGGAAAGCCAAAGGCTCTGAAACCGGAGAAAGGGCGGACACCGACTGGGTCACTTGCTCAGTGTGCGTGCGTGATCCTGAGCCAGCTGTGCTGCCCAAGGACAAACACAAAGCACACACAGGCGCGGTGGGGACTGAGACGACCCAGCGCCGTGCCTGCTACGTCACAGGTACTCGAAAGCTCTGTCCACGCGCGGCCCTGCACACGCGACTCCCCCGAGTGGTACCTTGTCGTGCTTTTCTAAGCTCAGACTCCGCCAGAATGGCTCCAGATGGCTGCCGACAGAGAAACCCACTGGCTTCCTCAACACAAGCTCATGAGCCCCACGGCACCAAGGCCTGCAGGGGGCAGGGGGCGGGAGAGCAGGGCTCCGTGTGTGAAAGCCGACCAGGAACTAGCGGGGAAGGCAGTGTAGTGTGTCCAAGTGTCCGAAACGGGTCTAGAATGGTGGCAGCAATAAATGATCCCGAATGAAAAGAGAACGGAGAACAGAGAAACAGAAGTAGCATCTCTCTCCGCGGAATTTTCCTTTTACTGCTCTCTCGAAGGACAGACAGATTATTTGTAAAGCTGGCAGGTTCCGTTGCGGGAGTGAACAGAGCGGGAGCGGTGACTCAGGGCGTCACCTCCTGAGGATGACCGGTAGTCACGAAGCCATCCGTGCAATGTCACAATGTCCTGGGTTCTAAGAGACTGGCAAGAGGAGACAATGGCTGGACACATGAAGGGCCGAGCGCGTGAAGTGGAGGAGAGGGGAGGGGCTCCCGCCGGCACGTCCGCGGGCGCCCCAGACATGTACACAGCTGTAT